AAACCCCGAGCGGCTAGGCCACTTCTAGTGGAATTTGCCGAACAAGCCAGTAGAAATCAACTACTGGTAAACTCTGGGAGAATCTTCCACGTAACACAGTTTAGGTACAAAATAACCCCGGATGTGCCCAGGGGTCTTAGAAGGCAGGGTGTTGGAGCACCCAGAATGCAGTCACCTGCTGAGCCATTTCGAGGTGGCAGGCGGAAACCGATCTTTAACGATCGGCGGAAATAAGGTGTCACCAATAGTGGTGATCGAGGATGTCATGGAGGACGAGGAGTGACAAAATTGTCTCGTCACAGAGACAGCCGAAAACAGCCCTGTCCTCTCCTGAAGAGAATCTCGACCCCGATAGAAACCCCTGTAGACCTAAAATCATCGTTTCTATGAGCAAATAAGCAGGACGTCAAAAAGCTTGCTACCTACTCGGGTGTTGCGCCCAAGATGAATAAAAAGCATTATAACCCATCCACAGTCAACTTACAGCGAAATACAATCAAGCGAACTAACCCATCCACAGGAAGCTGTCGGCTGCCGGCAACCAACACCTGCAGTATTAGAAATAAGTGGATGGAACTCTTTGCAGCAGCATGTGACCTAAATGCAGCTGTGATGGCTGTATCGGAAACATGGCTTATGGACCACGATAGGGCACGAGGTTTAGTGTTAGACGTGAACCAGATTGTAGAACACCCATTCGTTACTACTCCACTCGCATTCAAGGAAGGCAACGGGATTTTTATCCCTTATGCCGAAAAAATCTATGATTTTGGGTAAAAGAACCCGCCGGTAGTCAGCAATGTTAGGAAAACTCGAGAGTGATTAGTCATAGGGTGAATGCGGGTCGACTCCCGACGCCGCGCGGTGTTTAACGCGGTAGTAATAAGAAATCAAAAGTTTTGTGCCCACCAGATCCGAACCGAGGAGTCGTCCAAATATCGAGTAATCCCGTTAAGCGATAAGGAAAGAAAAATGAGTGGAAAAGGAGAATAAAAATAACGAAAACTAAGAATAGAAAAGAAAGACAGAAAGATTCAAAGAAAATTGAATCGCACAGTGGGTTCGCTGGATAATCTCTCTCGAATAGTCACTCGGAGTCGGGTAAGGACACGGGGGTGCTGCCTCCATAAGAGCAAACAACGCCGAGCACACCCTCACAGCGCATTCACCTACGCACCAAAATCCTGGTGGGAGCGGCCATGTTATGTCGCCTTGGGGCAACCTGTCGGCCCCGTGCCCAGTAAGCTTCGGTTGCGGTTCTGTCACGGTGAGGGCGGAGACCTACATCCCCTGTATCTTACGCATTGCCTTTTCTCTTTTACCCCGACTGTTGGAAGAATGTTTGCATGGTTTGGTTGTGCATCCTGGCAGTCTGGAACGGTTGATGCCATCGGAATACTGTACTGTCTGTGGTAACAATTGCCTTATGACCCGCGTTTATGCGGTGCTGGTTATTGCTTACGTACGAGCGCAGGAAAACACAGTTGACCAGTAGCACTTCTAATTGTCTCTGGTTTCCGACACAATGGGATACCGAGTAACAGACAGCCTTTCCGAGGACCTCCGAGCAGTAAACCTACCACCAGAATCCGGGCTACTCGAAAATTTCGGTTCCCAACCCCGTCAATCCCCGTGAATTGAAGGGAAAAATAGAACAATGTCTCTCAAGTTTAATCGGAGCGAGTGGTGAAAAATAAGGGAAGGTGGAAGGGACCAAGGGTGATTCTGAAAGTTTCGGACGATATTTTCTACGTGCGACTTGTCACACCATGTTGCGTCATCACGACATGATTTAGGTCTTGTTCAGATCGTCACGTAGGTTTGGACAGAGCCAAGGCAATTGGAG